TATTGCAGAATTATATATGTAATAGTATTTACTATTTTTGCTGTTTACTCTGAATACAGACTCTCCCTTTGCCTTTGGTCATGTTGTGCTGACCTCCCCTTTATTGTGTATTGTCTTTTTCTTTAATCAAGTTAATACATGTCTGTTATCCAGTGAGTGATTTTCTCAGCTGCTCACAGTAGATCCCACCATGGAGTTGATTGCCAGTCTCATCATGGGGAATAACTACAACCAGCTGCCCAGTCACTCAAAATCAGGTCCAGTCAATTTGACACATAACCTTAACTACCACAATTCCACCCCTTGTCAGCTTGGCACCTGTACAGATCTCCTTCATTGGGTGGCTCTAGTCCCCTAGTTCCTCTGAGTGGAGACCTTACTCCCTGGCCCTGGCAGGCCCCATTCCTCTATGTCTTGGGCATGGCAGCCCTGCCTGCTCACTTTTGGCAAGTGGCTATGGGCCCATCCCACTCATCCACATGAACAAGCAGCCCCACACTCCAGAACCAAGCTGGTGAAAGTATGACTCTTTGAAACTTAAGGGGCTGTGGTGGTTCTACCCCCAAAGGACATGGTCCAACTCTTGAGGCTGAGGCAGCTCTGCTTTCAATTTCCTTGGTCTCTCCACTTCTGCCAATTTATGCTCGAGGGCAACCCACTCTGTCAGGAATCTTCCTGCCCAGAAGGCACTTACCTTTCTTGATCTGTGGGCTGGCAATCTGCTACTCCGACTCATGCTGGGTCTCTTCTACCAATTAACATCAGAAGGCAACCCACTCCACCAGGAAGCTGCCTACCCAGGGGCATCCAGCTTTCTCCTCCATGGGCTGGTAAGCCTGTTGCTGTCTAATGCTGGTCTCTCAGCTCTGCTGCTGCCGTCTCTCTCCTGGGGTCTCCCTAACAGGGTCTTGGGTTAAGGATGCGCTCCACTCCTGTTTCCATATTTTAGGTATCTGTCAGAGCAGCACCCCACTCTCTCAGTACCATATTCTGGTTTGGTTACCTAGTGCTGCTCTAACAGAAATTACCACAAGTGGGTGGTTTGGACAAACAGGCATTTATTCTCCTACAGTTTAGGAGGCTAGAAGTCTGAATTCAAAGTGCAAAGCTCTAGGGGCTAGATGAAAGGCCCTCAACCTTGAGCCTCAGTTCTGCCTCTTGGTCCTCCTGGCTCACTGAAGCTGGAGGCATCTCTTCACTTAGGTAGCTGCTGCCTGCTGAGGCTGGCAAACCCAGGTTGACAAGTAAAAAAACACCATCCCAAGATTTTCAAACAACACAGTAGGCCACTAGTTTAAGTCCAGAAAAAGTACCAACATTGGCAGGGTATGGCAGGCTGCTGAATGAAGACTCAGCTACATGCAGCGTCCAAGCATGCCAAAAAGCTGCAGAGACCTTCCTCAATGCTTCTCCTTATATACTGGAAGCAGACCATATCCCTAAGGCAGCTACTCAGCTGCTTGCAGCAGATTCCACCGTGGACATGATTGCCAGTCTCATCATGGGGAATAACTACAACCAACTGCCCAGCCACTCAAAACCAGGCCCAGCCAAGGTGACATATAACTTTAACTACCACAGCAGTCTTATACAGTATTTGTCCGTTTGTGATTCAGTTATTTCACTTGGCATAATGTCCTCCAGATTCATCCATATTGTGAAATGTTTCCCGTATTCATTGTTACTCTTTAATGTTGCGTAGTATTCCACTGTGTGCATATACCATAGTTTATCCATTCGTCTGTAGATGGGCACTTAGGTTGTTTCCATCTTTTTGCTATTGTGAATAATGCTGCGATGAATATGAGTGTGGCATATATGTATTTGTGTCATGGCTGTTATTTCTCTAGGATTTATACCTAGTAGTGGGATTGCTGGGTCATATGGTATCTGTAGTTGTAACTTTTTAAAGATGTACCATATCATTTTCCACGGTGGTTGGACCATTTTACTATCCTACCCACAGAATATGAGAGCTCCAGTCTCCCTCACCAGCATTTGTTGTTGTGGTTTTTTAAATCATTGCTTTATTACTGGGGTGAGATGATACCTTATTGTTTTGATTTGCATCTCTAATGGCTTATGATCACAAGAAGTTCTTCATATATTTGTTGGCAGCCTGGATGTCATTTTCGGTGAACTGTTGTTCATGTCCTTTGCCTGTTTTTTAATTGAATTGTTTGTCTTTTTCTTGTTGAAGTGTTTACATTTTCTATAAATTTTAGAGATTAATACTTTGTCCAGTACATCATTGCAAAGATTATTTCCCAGTCTAAGGTTCTTTGTTCACTTTTTTGGAGAAGTCTTTTGCTTGAGTGTTCAGTTTTTAGGAAGTCCTAGTTGTCTATTTTACGTTCTAACGTTTTTGAATTTTTAGTTAATGTTTGACAGACTATTTATGCCATAAATTAAGGCTCTTAAGTTATCCCCTATTTTTTCTTCCATGATTTTTATAGTTTAGGATTTCCATCACGTTTTTTAAAATTTTTTTTTTATTGTGATCCAGGTGCAAATTTATAAAGCAGATTCATTTTACTTTCAACAGTTCATACACATTTGGTTTCATGGCCTCAATTATAAGTGCAACAATAAATAGCTCTTCTCCCATCTCCTCCCTGTGACTACCCCCTTCCCTGTGTCCTTCTTATCTATGCATTCCTGTCTGTCCAGCATTCCCCCTATGCAAATGCGGCCCTTCTGGTTGCTCATGATTGTCCATCACTCTTTGATGCTTAATTTGTCTCTGTTGTAGTCAGTAAGAACCCTTTCACTCTGATTTCTGTCTCCTTTTCACATTTTCTGATTATCTTTTGACACTTCTGTACTTTCTGCTACAAGATATTCTTGGTTTATGTGGTGGTTATGTTTTTATGTCAGCTTGGCTGGGCCTGGTTGATTGGCTGGGCAGCTGGTTGTAGTATTCCCCATGATGAGACTGGTAATCAAGTCCATGGTGGAATCTACTGTGAGCAGCTGAGTAGTTGCCTTTGGGTATGTGTTCTGCTTCCCGTATATGAGCAGCAGCTTTGGGAATGGTCTCTAGCTTATGACATGCTTGGATGTAGCCTGCATGTAGCTGTGTCATTGTTCAGCAGACTGCCATGCTCTGCTGACCTTGGGACTTAAAATGGACTTCAATTAGTGGCCTACCATGTGGTTTGATAACATTGGGACTGTGCCTTTTTACTTGTCAACCTTGGGCTTGTCAGCCTCAGCAGCCAGCAGCTATCTGAGTGAAGAAAAGCCTCTAGCTCCAGTGTGCTGGGAGCAGGAGGCAGAGCTGGACCCCAAGGTTGAGGGGCTTTCACCCCCTTCTTTGAACTTGGACTTAAAGCCTTCAAACTGTAGGAGAATAAACTCCTGTTTGTTAAGGCCATCCCATTTGTGGTGTATTCCTGTCAGAGTGGCTCTAGGTAACCAGAACAGCTCATAGTGTACTTTGCTTGCTTCAGACATGGAATCAGCCATTCTTCCAGGAACTCTGGTTCCTTTTATTAGAGAATGATATTTCCACTAAAAACCAAGTTCTAGGTGCTTTGTATGCTCATTGCTATTGGAATGTCTTGCTCCCAATCCTTCTCAGTGGACTGAGCTAGGGATATGGGTATGTGTATGCATTTATATTTTTAAACTTTTCTCTCTATTAAATATGTGTACATGTGTATATGTATATATAATTATTAACTCCACTATAATTCTAGTTCAGTTCCACAGGGTTGATTCAAGTTTTTCCCCTTTTACTATTTGTCCTTATCTGACAATGACAAACCTGGCTCCCATTTTTCTCAATATTTGTACTTATGTGATGAATCCTAGTGTATGTAACCAGTCCCCCATCACGGTGGCTGCTGCTCCTTCTCCACCCAGTTTCTTCCCAGATGCCTTCCTCATCACACTTGGAATTCCATCCATACCAGGCTGCCCTGCTTCACCTCACTCAGGCTTCAACCCCTGTACTTGGTCACTCCACCTCCACCCAGCTTCTGCTTTGACTGGCGGTGCCCTGCTGTAGGCCATCTTTTCCACCTTTCCCCCAGCCTGCCTTGTGATATTACTGAATTATTTGAGAAGGGAAAAGCTCTTAGTGACCTAGTGAGTTTTAGATGAAAGACCACACACACATCATTCATTCAGAGAAATTATACAACTTTTGATTAATTCAGCCTTAATCTGTAAGAGAAAGAGGGGCTGGAGCTTTTCTTTTGGGTTTAGCATTCCCTTTTATCTAGAAGTATGAGGAGTGAACTTTACCCAGGTCCCAAATCACATTCACAGTTTCTCTTCCTAGTTGCTGGTACTCACTGGGATCTGAGCAAAAACCAGATGAACTGCATGGGCTCCCAGCCAGCTGCAGCAGGTCCCATGGGAATTTATACTCCCCAGACATAGACATTAGACCTTAGGAAACTTCCTAGAAAAACAAAACAAAAGCACCATCATTACTTTCTATCCCATACTGGAGAGGGGCTCAGAAAAGAGGTCTTAATTCCATTGATATATAGCTGTTTTCCTCCCCTTCCTCCTAGTTTGAATGCTCCATTGCAAGCTATAATATTTAGTCTTTTTTTTCTTTAGAAAAGGAGGACTAGATACCATCATAGTTGGGGGTGGGGAACTGGTAGATGGGACATAAAGAGTTAGTGACTATGGGGAGGTAGAGGAAGGAGTATACCCTGAGTCTCCTGCTAGGGTTAGTAATGGATCTTCTTTCTGGGTGTCATGTACCAGCCATGGGAATACCAAGGATTCCCAAATGATGGATTCCAAGATGGGGGAGTGGGCAGGAATGGCAGCTTCAAACTTGAGTGCAGTGGGAAGATTGTTAAAAAAAATACTGTTGCTACTTTGATATGTGAGAGGGTATCATTGTTTTAATTTACAATAGAAAAATATGAAATGTATACATGTTACATTAGAAAGTAATTTTCCTGGCACCATTTTTCTCAGGTCTCCAATGCTTATGTCATTTATCATTAATTTTTTAACATTATTTTTGCTAGCTACCACAATGTTTGAAGCTGGAAAGGACAAAGTTAATCCAGATGAATTTGCTGTGGCACTTGACGAAACTCTTGGAGACTTTGCATTCCCAGATGAATTCGTCTTCGATGTTTGGGGAGCTATTGGTGATGCCAAACAAGGACGATTATGATGTGGAAGATACATCTCTGAAGAAATGAACGATTGTTTACTTAAAAAGGCAACCAAACCATCAACCTATAAGAGCTGATTTTATACACCATTACAAACTCTGGTGTAATCATGTGTTGTAGTACATTCTTTGAAATTTAGTTTTGATTTCTGAGTGTTTTTAATGCAATTGCTTATGTAATATGCTTAAGATAAGTAACCTAAAATTATGATCAATTCTAATATTCATTCAAAAGTTTTTTTTGAAATACATTTTAAGGAGTATTTCTAGATAGCTGGTTTTGTTTCCTGTTAACACCCATGCTCTGTTTTCTATACATATGTGGGAAGTTGCGTATTATTGTTGCAATGTAATGTTGTTGATGCAATAGTTTTGTAATTCTATTGTAAATCTTGATGCAATGAAAATTAGAATTGTATCATCTTAATTTTGTTATACAAGTTTGAACAGGATATGTTCAGGAAATGAAATGTGAATTATGCCTATTATAGGTCTGCATGCATTGTTTCTAATTCACTGAGGAAGGAGAGGAAGAGTTCTATGGCCTCTTGATTTCTATGGCCCACTTTCCCTATTTGTAAAACAATAGCTGATGGATTTTCTTTTTTGCTTCTTTCTAATTGCTCTTAAAATTTGTAGTTAAAATCTGTTGTGCTGTCTGTGTGTGTGTTTGTATGTGTGGAAGAAGAGTGAAAAAGAGGTTGGGTAGAACCACTTACATTTTTTTTTTTTTTAAGTAGTTCTTAAAACTATTTCTTCTTTCACTCATAGCTGCTTTTATGTCACCTTTTATAAACACTCCAGGGAAGGTTTTATAGTCTTTGTAGAAGTTTCCTTTTGAGAAGATATTTACTCAGAAAATAACTATGTTTGAGAACATTTTTTTGGGTTAAGGAACAGCCCTTTTAAGCCTTAAACTTTAAGGGAGATAGGATCAGAAATGGATTCTCCCTTTTCCTCCAGTGAAATTAGGAGGAAGGGAGAATTGGGAAAATACATTAGCCTATTATTTTAGAGTTCTTACACACACTCTCCAAAACCTTACATAATTTAGAAAATTGAGGGTAAATTGACTGTTTTATCACTCTTATTTGACATTTTACAGATGTAAGAGGAAATGGAAATGAATGGTTTCAACATAAATCATTAAATAAGGCAGAGAGCATGGTGTGACCAAGCATTCTACTAAAGCATTAGATGAAAAATGCTATGTTCTACCATAGTAATCAGAAATAATAACCTATGAGAGATGCCTTCTAGGAAATCAGAAGTAGTTCCCTTTTCATGCTGGGTTATTGCTTAGATAACTGTTGTTTTCTAGTGAAACTTTAATTTTACTTCCCTTTCACATAGCAAATTTAATGCTATGAAACTGATTTTCTTTGATTAATCTGAAATTTGCACAGAAGCTGTTTTAGTCATTACTGTGTGAAAGGTAGCTTATAGAATGTGGATTGTCTTACTGCTCTTGCTCATCTTTTGAAAATAAGATTCAGCTCAGTTTGTAATTTATTGGTATTCTTTTGGAATCTCAAAATACCTGTTAATTCTTAATAGCAGCTTTCTTAGAAGGACACAAAAAAGAGCTAATATTTTCGAGGATGGGAAAGTTATTGAATGAGTTAAGAGTACCACGGAAATATTTAAACAACAACAATATTTTATTGGCAATGAATGTTATATTTGAAATAATCATTTTTTATCATTGGTGAATGTCAGTTTCTCCTTCCTTTTTGGGTATGCATGAGGGCTGACACTTGGTGTTTCTCTGTGATTTATTGAATGTCATGTTCAGGAAGTGGCTGTTCTCACAGTGATCTTTCTAGAATTTTTATGTGCAAAGTACCCATATCCATGTATAGCTGTTAATTATACTTGTTTAACATGTTGCTGTGGAATTGATTCCTACTAATAGTGACCCTGTAGGACAGAGTAGAATTGCCCCATAGGATTTCCAAGCTGTAATCTTTATGGAAGCATACTTTCATATCTTTTCTCCTGCAGAGTGGCTGGTGGGTTCAAACCTCTCACATTTCAGTTAAGAGCTGAGTTTTTTAACTACTGTACCACTAAGGCTCTTTAGCATTAAATGGTAAGTTGTCATTACAGTTGGGCTTAGGTGCTTTATATGCCAATAGATTTTGCTCTGAAATAAACTTCTCTTTCATCTCTCTTGCTAACCTGATAAGAAAGGTCAGTTTATGCTGTTTTGTTCCCATACTTGACATAATATCTATTTGTGTGCCTTGCACCTTTTTATAACTCTAATGCACAAAAAGGAGCAGGGTCTATTTTCAGTGCAATAGCATTATCTGTAAGTGTTAGTTTCCCTCTTGCTGCTATGATGAGACAAATATATATATATTTTTTAATATTCCATTTCATTGGTACCATTCAACATTTTCAGAGAGACTCTTAAGTTTTCTCTTGTCCTGTGGATGTTTTATCCAATCAAGGATGAGATTTTATTTGTTCTCAATTTCCTTTCATACAAAGCAGCATCTTCTTTTTGTGGCCACTAAGAGCACATAATGTATTTTCTTTTATTGTGGCAGGCAATGCAGATGATGATTAACTTGGACTTCATATGGCCTTGAACACAACTCTGTCCTGATCAAATGTACACATTCTGATGATTATAAATAGGTAACATTTTGGGTTTCTGTGATGTTTCAAAAATATAATTACATTAAGTGAAATCTTTTAAGAATTCAATTATAAAGGCAGTAATCAGTTAACTTCTGTTTGGAGCTGCTATATCCAGCATTATAATGTGATTGATAATTAACTGAAGAGATATAGCTGAATTTTTCAAATGGTGTGCAATTTAGAATATTTTTACCTGTTACTTTAGCAAATAGACATTTTTCCAAGTAAATCACACATCATTTCCTGTGTCATTGCTGGATTTTCATCATTTCTAGAGAGAGACTCCTTGGTCGTCTTCAGTTATCATTGCCTACCTTGTATGGTACAAAAATGTATTTAATTTGAAAATGGAATTTGCAAAAGAATAATGGTTCTTATAAATAGATCATAGCTGTCCACCAAAGATGCAAAAGAGTGATGATATAATGTCTCTTTCTTTCTTTGATACATCTAAAAATATATGGGTGCCAGTAGCTTTGCTATTATTCTGATAGAGGTACTTGGTTAGAATGCCAGTTAAGTGTTTCATCCAGGCTAATAATGAATAAAGTTATGCTATTCAACTCACAGCTCCAAGTATTAGTGCCCTGTGCAAAATGCACATTTATTATCTTCTTGAAACAATTTAAAAGAGATATCAGAGTAATTACAGGCTCTTACACATCGTGTTTCTAAAATCGTCAAGTGTACAAAATGGCACATGTTCCTTATGCTATTACCTGAAAACTGAATTCTAAGAAATGACTCATGGTTATTATCAGCTGTGAAGGTGAAAGTTGAACATGACATCTTTGTTTCAATTGGAGACATTAAATTGTATGTTGTTTTTAGGTGCTGTCAAGTTGGTTCTGACTCATAGTGACCCTATGAAGTCACTATAAAACATTGCTTGGTCCTGCACCATCCTCACAACTACTGCTGTTTGAGTCCATTGTTGCAGCCACTGTGTTAATCCATTTTTTTGAGGGTCTCCCTGTTTTTTTTTTTTTTTTTGCTGACCATCTACTAAGCATAATGTCCTTCTCCAGGGACTAGTCCCTCCTGATAATGTGTCCAAAGTACATGAGAAGAAGTCTCACTGTCCTTATTTCTAAGAAGTATTCTTTCAAGACAGGTTTGTTTGTTCTTCTGACAGTCCATGATGTTTTAGTATTCTTTGCCAACACCACAATTCAAAGGCATCAACTCTTCTTCAGTCTTCCTTATTTGTTGTCCAGCTTTCATATGCATATGAGGCTACTGTAAACAGCATGGTTTTGGTCAGGCACACCTTAGTCTTCAAAGTGGCATCTTTGCTCTTTAACACTTCAAAGATGTTTTTTGCAGCAGATTTACCCAATGCAATACATTGTTTGATTTCTTGACTGTTGCTTCCATGGGCATTGACAGTAGGTCCAAGTAAAATGTAGTCCTTGACAACTTCAGTCTTTTCTCCGTTTATCATAATGTTGCTCATTGATCTAGTTGTGAGGACTTCTGTTTTCTTTACGCTGAGGTGTAATCCATACTGAAGGCCCTAGTCTTTGATCATCATCATCAGTAAGTGCCTCTTTATTTTCAGCAACCGAAGTTGTATCATGTGTATTTTCTAAGTTGTTAGTGAGTCTTCTGCTAATCCTGATGCCACATCTTCATATAATCTAGTTTCTTGGATTATTTGCTCAGCATGCATACAGATTGAATAAATATGGTGAAATGACACAACCCTGATGCACACTTTTCCTGATTTTAAACTACTTAGTATCTGCATGTTCTGTTTGAATTCACTGTCTCTTGGTCTAAGTACATGAGCATAGGTAGGTGTTGTAGAATTGCCATTCTTTGCAATTATTTTTGCATAATTTGTCACAATCTGCACTGTTGAAGGCTTTTGTGTATTTGATAAAACACAGGTAAACATCTTTCTGATATTCTCTTTCAGCCAAGATCCATAGATATTTTTTAAGTAGTAACAAAAAGGAGAAATTCGGAGGGTTCCGGCAAGATGACGGACTAGGCAGAAGGATTGCACAGACCCTCTTCAACAAAGAAAAGGGAAACCAATTAACACAGACACAGAAGATAATCTTGGACCCCTGAGCCTTGAAGGAAA